GTATTGCCTACTTTTTTCTGTGGTCTGCAGAAACCACCTTAATTACTGGCTTGGACTTCAGGCCAGTTGAACTGAATTGAACTTCAAAACAGTTAAGAATTACCCACTAGATAAAGCACAATTCTTCTACTTGTGGACTAAACTTAAAATCACTGTTTTGTAATAGTCACTGCTCTGAAGAAAGCATGGTCTTTTTAATAAGTAAGTAGTTTAAAATGAAAGAGCTGTGATGTAGGGCAGTGTATCTTGCTTTGGAAATGAAAGCAAGAATCTATGAACAAGCACATTGCTTAACATACAAAGTGTAGTCCTTAAACATTCATGTTGATCACAAAATTTTACCAGATGTTTATCCTTAGTTTCATACTCTGAGATTTTATTTATCTTTATTTTACTTGTTAGAACTCTCCAGTTCTAATTCTAGCAAGATCTTTGAAACCTTGGAGGTAGCTCTGGGTCTTCTTTACCTCAGTGCAGGCAAACTGACTTACAGAAGTCAGAAGAAGCAACATCAAATAAGACTTCCCTAGATAATTTTGGTCCATTCCATAACTATTCTTTTGATGCAAGTGAAAACACATGGCTGTTTTTGGATCTTTTTAGATGTATCTTCCTGATTTATCATAATCTTTGTCTTACCTGATGAGTACACATAACAGACATATCTTGTTAGGTATATCCTTTCAGAACTATTAAAAAAAAAGGATTTTTACAATATGTGGTATAAAAAAAATAAATCAGACTAAGTAAATCACTTTGAAATCGTGTACGTTATTAGGTCACATTCTGAAGATTGTGGAAGGCATAAACAGAAGCTAGTTAAGAGACAGTGGTAATCCAGAAACTGAAGGTATAAGCAGTGCAGATTTCAATCAGACATTTATAACACAGGTGATCACACAGTGACAGGAGAGGTACGACATTAGACACACCTCCTTCTTCACACCATTTAAGCCTTCAGAGCAAATTAGCAGTATTATCTGCTTCATTTTTTTTCCCACTGGTTTCCCATGGGTTCCAGTGTGTTCTAGATGCACTTCAGTTATTAAAACAAAAAAATCACTAACTGGCTGTTGAAAATTAAAGAGAAAAATCTTTGATTTTCTAGTGTTTTGTCTTTAAGTCTTTTCCTTTTATTACTTTTATTCAATGATTATCTGACAGACAACTGATCAATTCATACACTCTTAGTTAGCAGGTCTGCTCATAAAGGTACTAAAACCTGGAATTAGGCTATTATACACGTTTTCTCTCAGGTTTTCTGGAGAATATGTTGGTTCTTACCCCCATTGTAGGAACAATAAACAGTTCTTTTTGCTGTAGGTAATCTTTATTAGATTTATTTAACAGGGTATTTTTGTTACTTAGTTTCTCAGCAAAAACCTTATCAATTTAATAATTAGCAGGACCAAACCTTGGACTGTAACTGTCTTCTATTCAGAAAACTATCAATTATACAAACAGAACTCTCAAGAAATTTGTCACAGTTAGAAAAAGAGGAACTCAGACCCAAGAGCAGACTAGAAAATAGAGATAAAGATCTTTGCAAGGCATACAAGTATCTAGGATAGATAATCTTCTGGTTTGCTTGTTCCTGGTTCTCTAGCCTCTCAAAGGCTGAAACTATTCACCTACCTTCCCATCAGCTATGCACTTCCAACTTCAATTAACAAATTCACTCCAGACCTTTCTTTAAATGATATCTTCCCTCCCTCCCTTTAAAAATGAGAACACTAGTGAATAATTTACAGTGTCTAGAGTGCTTCTTTAAATACATCAACTTTAATATAAATTTAAACTGAAAATCAAAGCAGATTCCTCAAATTAAAAAAGCCAGTGTTATTTTGACTGTTCATTGCTGTTGTTTAAAAGGAGATGGTCAACATACAGATTTGGAACAAGCCATATGAGATACCAGAATTGTTTTATACTTAGAAGTGCTACAGAAGAAGTCCTGTCTTTTGGATACTAACAGGCAACTCCAAAACCAGATATGATATCCAATTTACAAAGGCATTATCTAATCCCTTGTAGATACACATATTATTTTAAAGAGAACAGGTCAGACGAGTAACATTCCACACAAGTGATTCATGTACCCAACACACAATAAACTGAGAAAAAACAAAATTTATTCCATGAATGAAACATCTGGGCCCTGAATATCTGTAAACAGTTCAAACAAAAGCTGAAATTTGAACACGTTATCCAAAATCACTGGAATGTAAATCAAAATTACAAAGAATCCTGCAATTCACTGCACATTTGTGAAAGGTTTCTAATCTCATACAAAATCGAAAATGTTCAGAAGAATTTCAATGAAACTACAACATTTCTAACAAATGTAATATGCAGTTGCTGGAATGATTAAACTAATATCTAACCTACATACAGTCTCTGTAGGTCAATGAGTCCACATATATTAGTTGATTTGGGAATGTATTACACATACTCTCTCTTTCCTAACTCTATATGTATTTACACAGGGAGTCCAAAGGTTGAGCCACCAAAATACTTACTTCAGGGTAAATTTTTAATTTGAAATATTTTGTTTCATACTACATTGAAATAAAAAATGTTTATTCTGGCTTAAACGGTTCATTGTCTGGTTGGTTGGTTGGGGTTTTTTTTTGTTTGAAAACTGAAGAGTCACTTTCTAAGCAAACATTTTTAATCCAGTATTTATTCAGAAGCAATGAGAAAATAATTCAATATTTTCATTGAATTATTATTTCGAAGTTAATTAAGAGGTAAGGTAGAGGTATGTCTATTTTCTCATAAATTTTACCCTATATAAAAATAAAGTGCTCAACTCTAGATGAAAAAATCAGACCTAGATAAAATGGTTTTGAGGACAGGTGATTAAAAGGTCCAAAATGGCTCTTTCAAGATGTATTTTCTACTACAAAGGAGAGATCCACCTAAAATGTATTTTGGTTTTATAATATAAACAGCCATATTCATAATATGAACATATGTAAAGGGACAATATGGGCCAGAATTATGGCTACATAGTTACAGATTGAGAGTATCTGTAATAAATTCAATTGATGTGGATCCACATTACTGTATTTGAGAACAAATTAATTTCTACTGACCTGCTCACTGAATATTTGATTGACCTGTTAGAAATGGCATTAAAGCATTATGATTCACAGAGGTTTTTTCTTAATAGCTCCTTCAGTTCACTTTGCATTTGTGGAATTTTTTTTAAATGAGATTTCAACTTCACCTGTTATGGGATAAACCCTACTCCATCTACATGCTGATATCTCTAGTGTTAGTTCCAGCTGACAGAATGAGGTTCATTCACCACAGAATTTGATGTGTTGTATTCTGTCAGGGATTGTCAGGCTATCAGAACAGTGCAACAGGACCTTATTTTAAGTGGGTTTTTTAGTGTAATTTATAAGTTCACTTTTTATAACAAGAATGTTGATTTTAACATTTAAAGCATCCATGGTTTATTTCTGCTTAGTGAGGAAAGTGTTAAAGTCCATTGGTAATATAATATTTTTAAAGCTGTACAGTACTATACACTTTAACAACCTTGGAAATTTAAGGAGCTGTCTCAAAGTAAGAAAACAAAGCAGAATTCATCTCTGCACTTACTAGAAAATTACATCTGTGAAACATCTGATTCAACACTTCTCTTTAAGTAGTTGCTTTTGACAGAGGTCATTGTAGGTTTTCTAATGGTTTAAAATTCAGTCAAGATAGAGCTTATTAAATGAAGAGCTCATAAGAAAGAAATGTTAAGGCAGAGACTTCTTAACCCATGTACTCAAGGGAAGAGAAAAGTAGCCACCATGTATCACCACTCGAACCAGGACAGATTTTTCAGACACAGAAAATGTGGAAGACAGTCACAACTTCTCAATTTCCTGGTGCCTCTCATCTAAATGCCACATAATACTAAATAAACATTAATTAATTAAGCTGCTTAACACATCTACTAAGTACAGTAAGGAAGAAATGTGCTTACTTTTTTGGCAGAAGTCCTACTACCCCAAAGTTGCTGATCACAAAATGATCCAAAGCAATAGTTGCAAACCATCAAGAAAAATATTATATATACTTTTATAATCTACAGAGTGCTTTGTGAGAAGTTAAGGGGAAAAACACTCTGAAGATATTGCTCTTTGAATAATTTTAAATATATATTGTTTCTCAATGAAAAGAAAAAGCAAGAACTTAGAAGAATGTTCATGAAAAAAATCTATTTTAAAATCAAGTCTATTCTTTAAGTTTTTATCCATTGGTAAAATCTTCTCAATTCCAACATATCCTCAAAGTCCTATTTCATTTTAGAAATAGAGGACTAGTTAGAAAAACAGAAAAATGGAAATTCAAGTTACAATTATCTGTTCTCATTATTTAACATATGCATGCACAACTTTTCACAAACGTAGTAGCAGTATGAATATTAAAAACATGTCGAGACATAAGCACCTCCAGTTCCTCTAAGGCTTGGAAAAGAGAGAAAATTATCAGTATGTAATGATTTTAAATCTTAGGGGGATAATCTCACATTATGAAATAAAACATACATCAGAGATTTTTCTAGAATTTTATAAATTTCTTTCAGAAATTTCAGTAAATGTAAGTAGTTTTCTGCAAGTGTGTATCCTCTAGAGGAGCATATCTTTATACAATGTAAGAATGTCCTCTAACATCAATCAAAGCCAGTATTTGAAAATTTTCTGGAAGTTTTCCTCTCAGTTACATATTTCATAATTCTATTAAAAACAACAACAGTTAAGAACTGGACTTAGACTGTAACACCCCTTTCATTTCAAAGTATATACTTGCAGTTTTTAGGATTATTTTTCTTCTAAAACAGCAAATGCATGAGGCTAAAGCATTTATTAAAAAAATCAGCAAAATGTCCTAACCATAGAAAAATATTAGAGATAAAACATTATTAGAAGCATTTAACAACATAGCAAGAAATTCTTGGCTTCATTACCTAGATTTAACTATATTAAAAAACCCAACATTTTGCTAGATGGCAATGATAAGGTCTGTTGATGTGTCTTGGTAGGAAAATAAAATAAAAAATTGTCTTTGCAAATCACTGAAACAAGTCTGCTCATTCTGTTCCTTTTCTCTTACAAAATGCATGTTCATGGGTTTAGAATAAATAAGTCATAAATAACAACAGGACTAAAAAAAAAATAAAATTGTATCTGTATTATCTTACTGTATACTTATCATGTTGATTATCATTTTTGGCTCACATTTATACAAAGCTCTCTTCCATATTTGTGCATAACAGAAAAGAGTCCACAAGTCTGGGCTTTACTAGCTGCTGAAAATCTGAATCTTCAAGTCCTTCAGGACTCATAACTGCTAGTCTTCGTAAGGCTGCCTGGAAAAACAAAACAGCAAAGTTGAAATGCAGTTAGGTTTGACAAAGTCTTCATTACAGGAATCCATTGTAACTATCTCAAAATAATAGCCAGGACTCAGAACTGAACTGTGCAGGTTGAATTCTCCTACCTGGCTAATCTCTTGTTACTGTCTTCATCTGTCAAATGGATCTCCCCCAAATGCAGCTAATAAACAACAATTCCTTTGGGGCACATTACTTTTAGACCTGAGTAGCAGGGACAGTGTGGTGTTAAAGAACACAGAGGTGAGAATCAGAGGACTTTGATTGTAAACCTATCTCTGATCTGCTGCACGTCTCATGCTGCCACTTTGTATCTCTACTCTCCTCTCACCTTTTGTCTTATTTATGAGAACTATAAGTCATCTGAGTCAGAAAATATCTGCTACCGAAGTTTTATGCAATGCCTGCCATAGAAATCTTCTAGGTACTAGTGTAGAAAGAAGCAGTACGTTTCAAATCATTTCGGAACAAATAAAACTGACATTTGTTCTGATTATGAGGCCGTACGATAAAAATCGCGTTGATGTTACCATTGTCTTCATAAACTCTTCCCTTCTAAGGAGTTATTTGATTTTCTCACTGGAGAAAAATACACAACAACTACATACCTTCTAGTAACTTGATGTGACAGATGCAACTGGAAAGCAGGCTGGCTTTCCTCAAGAACAAAAATTGTCTTCTATTGATAAAGTGTGATAGCTAAAGTGTGATAAAGTGGGATCAGCCTACCCTCTCTGTGTTGTTTGTCAGTGAAGCACTAACACAAGAGTTTGTCGCCTGCTTCAAAATATATAAAAAAATAAACAACCATGCTAAAAATACCAAACAGTACAATTCCTCAAATTTCATGGACAATACCTATCAGACCTTGAAGCAGCTTATGCCTCCAGGACAATATTTTTGCCACATGTTTATTAGAAAATGTCTTCAAGCAGTTACTAAAATATCCAGAGAAGCAGAGTTGCTGAGACAGGCAGGTAATGTCTCAAACAATAGACATGAATTCAAGGAATGTGCAGCAGCAACTTCTGTGAGACAGAAAAAAATCATAGTTGGTTTGCTGCCATCTCTCTGTGGTCTCTGCTTTAGTCATACAAGACTAATAAGCCTTCTCAGCATGTATGATGGATAACCTCTGCATTTCTTGTGCTCACATTCAAACTTTCTTCATCCTGAATGAGTCCTGCTTAAATGAACAAGCTGCAGTAACCAAGTTTCACACTTAAAATAACATTAATACTATAAAGCATTGTCAAACAATATTCTTCAGTCTTCATTTCTCAAAACCTATGTCCTAACCCTAGATCACTCATGTGCCCAGAGCACTTTCACAAAATGCTGGGTGAAATCACTCAACTCTGACAGTCATTGGGAGCTCACAGTCCACGCAGTGCAGGGCCAGCAGCTGGGATCTTTCTCCTGAGTAGAGAAAGTGTTAACTATCTGTTGCCCTGTCCTTGGCTGGGCACTATATTTTCTTGGAGACTCAAACAGAAAAAAAAAAAGGACCATAATGAAAGCAAGTAATATCTTTTCCTCTTTTTGGACACTTTACATAAATATTTCTATACATATATGTGTTTGCAGATAAAGGGCTGCTATCCCTTGACTCAAGGGTAATTTCAGTAAACAGCATCATCAGAGAATGGAATTCAGAAATTAATAAATCTTTAAATTCTGAAGTGTTCCAGTGAAATTTTTTGGTGCTCAATAATGTGAAGATGAAGCCATTTTTCCTTATGTGCTTAAATCTTCAATCAGAGGATAAATAATTGACAGCGTACAAGATTATGCTTAAGGGGAAAAGCAGGAGACCCTGACGTGAATTTAAAACATTCCTGCAATACTTATGCATTTTGAAATCTAAAGGGATGGGTTTTTTCTTAGTTTTCCATTATAAGCTTGAAAGAAAGACTAAAATGTACATACCAGACATGCCACTAGAACAGAATCGCTGTTATTTCTTTCGGTTGGTGATCTGCAAAGTTTAATTAGGCGAGGAATACCTGAGTGCACAAAAGAGTGTCAGGAGAAATAATTTAGAGAAACAACTTCTTATTTTGAGATGTGTAATATTTATCTTTCTTAGTAGACATGATCTCTAATGTAAAGATGATACACAAATACTTGAGGGATTTTTCATGGAGCTATGCAGATCAGAGCAGTCATAATTAATAGTTGTAAAGCACAAACAAATAAATTGCATTTATTTGCTATTGCTCTTTCAGAGTAGAAATTGTGACCTCCATTTCTTCCCTATCAGTCCTCCCCTATACCCTTAAAAAACTCCAACTCAAAGAACCTGCTCCCTCGCATTGGATTCATTCCACTGACAGATCCTACACAAGGGTTTACGTAAAGGAATGGAGGAGGCAGCAGTGCCAGTTGGCACAGTAAGACACAGCTCCGTGTTGAGTGGATACTGCACCTCAGGTTCCTCTGGGAAATGAGCCAAAGGTTCATTTAGCTCAACCTCCTCAGTCATTCTCTGGGCAGACTCTACAGGGAATATACTCCATAAAGTATACCAAGTGAGGCTACAAATTTAAAAGAGTTTCTCCGTGACTGGCAGTTCCTCCCTCTTTTTCAGTCCAATATTAAGCTAGAGATACATCCTTACAGCTGAGTTTTACAGCTGCATCTGCCACTTCAGGATCCCGGCTGAGTCGTGCCAGTGTTACTGCAGATTTCTGTTGGACTCGCTCACAAGCAGCAACTTCTGCTGAACTTCCTGAAGATGATTTTTCAAAGAGCATTTCCATTAAAAGTTGAATACCTAAAAGAATGTAAAGAGCCGTTGTTATCCTCTCTCCAAAAAAAAACCAAAACAACAACTTGGTGCAAAAAAAGTAAAGGGAAAAAGCAAGCAAGGTAAATACAGACCAATGACTTGCCCAAATAAGTCATGAAGAATGCACAAATGTGGACAGCAATTTGGACGTCAGCATTCAGGCACTTCTGATCTGTGCATAAGTTTGTCTTCACTGGGAAGCTACAGAACTTCTGGAACTAGAAAATGCACTATCTCTTCCCTTCTCCAACCTTTTAACTCCCCTACAAGCTGGTATTTTAGTTTTCATGAATTTATTTCAGTCAAATTAATTACATTTCTTTATTTCTCTTCCAAACTAAGCTGAAGGTAATCACTATCTAAAACCTGTAGTGACGTATTTCAGATCTCTACATGAAGTTTCACTCTGAATTAAATTTTTTTTTCAGTTTATGTATTTTTAAATAAACCTTTAAAAGTTTCCTTCTCAAACTGTTTGAGTGTACTTTAGAATGGGGAATCCTTTAGTGAAGGAAACTATGAGATTCTGTCTCTTGAAGCTTAATGTGTGACTGACTCTATTTCAAAAGAGATAATGTTTTCCATGTTGAAATGACTTCATTAACTTATTATTTCCTATAGGAGTTTATATTCTTATTGTAGTTCCACAAAAACACTTGAGACTGTACTGATTTCTATTTTCTAGATTATTTTAAGTGTAAAGACAATTATGTGCTATTAGACTCCATACGCTATTAGGCATTCAGATTACTTCAGGTAGCATAAGAGGATTTTAGCTGTTACAACATTTGCATAAATAATTCAGAGATTAGTATCAGAATCATACATCTAGATAATAATCAACTGACATACTTAAAAAGTCAGAGAATACTTTAAGAAAGTATCTAAACTCTCTAGCATTCAAAACCCCTTCTCGGTTTGTGAATCTGGCCTCTGAGCAGCATCTGAGCATTACAACATTGGGCAGACACAAGATGCCTTTACACACAAGCTGAGTGCCAACCCTTCTCAAAAGCCAGTGGGAAAATTCTTCTTGTGAACTTCCATTATGGAATGTATACACAAACTTTGTCTCGTTGTCCTTGGCAATCTGCATGTACATGTCCACCCACTCTAGTATCTGGCATGAGTTAGGCTTAGTTGGCACAGCTCTTAGTATAATTTCGTGAACTTCAATCAAGTTTCTGCTGAAGTAAAAGCAGATGAAATACGATCAAACACCTGTCCCAAATAACAGAAGAGGTTTTGGTGTGCTCAAGGAAATAGATAGCCAAACTACAAAACCAGTCTGTTACTCATAAACGAGTGCAAAAACTTTCAGGGCATATCTGGACTGTAAGTGTTGACGACAGAAGATCAGCCCAAGTCAAACAGACCAACCGCCAGAATGGTTTTCTCTACTCAAACCTATAATTACAGACACCTGGGTCCTGGGAAATGTCAGGGTCTTCCCAAGAGTTTCTAGAAAAGACTCTGGGTAGGGGAAGCCACATATGTCTGCATCAAGAAGTCCAGGAGTGCCTCTCCAAGTTCCAGGAACACAACAAGCTTGGACCAGGAGCATGGCAGGAACCACCAAATGGACCTGACCAACCTCTCTCTGGGATTGCCCCATCCTCCCCATGAAACAAGGAGGTCACGTGAGAAATGATCATGCTAACCTGCCTTGCTTCTCCCCTTCACTGCATTGTCTTCTGCATGGGACACAGAAATTTTGCACTTTATTTGTAAAATTGCATGTATCTGTGATTAAATTTTTTCAGTATTCAAATTCATTCAACTTCCACATTGTCATTTGTTCTGAAACTGTGACACCTCTCTACCTCTGCAAGGACATCAAATGCACACTTACCTCTGGGCACACATAGATTGCATAGTACCTGATCCTTGCCAGTCATATTTGTATGCAGAGAGCCCAAATTTTCTATTAAAATGCAAGAAACATCTAAATCCAATATTACATTGGAATTGGCCAGTTCTCTTTGAGGATCTGCTTCTATGGATATAATTTCTGAAATACCTTCTCCCACCTACAATCAGACATGTCTGAGATGCAAATGGATCCAAGCTAAAACCATTCCTACATAAATGTTAATTTTAAAAGTAAGGAGGGGATATTCCTAGGACAGAAAAAGCAATATATGGGAAGCTTCACTGTAATTTAATATCTCACCCCCCAAAAAAAAGCTGTCTTACTATATTGCTTGGTCATGAATTTGCTGGTAGATGTATTAATAAGGCATTTATCCTTATTCACAGATTTAGTAACTTCTAAGACTTCTGATGGGTCTATAACACCCAGGGTTTTTTAAACATAATGAATTTTGCATAATATGATATTTAAAGATATAAGGGGAAAAAAAACCTGGCAACTGCTGTATAGTAATAAAAACATGAAACTTCAAAATTTATAATACCTCTTAATACCTGTGAAAAAAAGTGACACAAAATGCAGGTATGCATGGCTCAGTATCAGGTGATGTCTTTCAACATGTAATAATTGCCACCTTACACAATGTAATTACCAGAATAAAGGCTGTTGAAACACTTTTTTCTTCTTTTTTCTACTTTGCTTTGCATCTATGAGTAAGCCACACACAGAGAACAACAGCAATGTGGTCATAAATGCAAAGTTTTCTAAAACAGTGTTATTATATTTTATTTATATCATTTGCAAAGAACCATCTCCAGGACTCATTTTGCACCCTGCAGCAATGTGCAAGAGATAAGATGCAAAATGAAATAAATAAAAAATATAATTCAGCTAAAATACATACCATTTCCTTGAATGATTTCTGAAGCACACTGGTCCAAAACAGACATGTTTGCCAATATTGTTACCACCTGTTGTTAAAAAGAGAAAGAAGTATGAAGTCTAGCCCTACAATTCAATAATATTAAATAACACTGTGGCTTATAAAATTAGTATGACAGAAATATGTCAAACCCAATAAAACTAAAAAGCATTCTTGCAGTTGGACAGCCTATTCCCACCTCTGTGATTTCTCAGGGGTCTTTATCTTACTTATGGCTGCTAACTGAAAGCCAGACAAGAAAAGTGAGGTCTCCTTTTATCAGAATTTTTTACTCGTGCACAAAATCTGTCTTAGAGAGATCTGTGCAGCAGGTTTGTTCAGCGATCAAATTGGTAGAAAGAAGAGGATAAAAATTTACAAAACCCAATTAACAGAAAAAACCCCACCAACTAGAGTCCTAGTTCAACCAGGAGCTGCCTACCCTCAGGAACCAGTCCTGTAGTCCCATTTCAGCTCAGGCAGAGCTCACAGTGAAAGCAAAGAACCAGCACACAGCACACGTTCCGTAGTGCTGTTATTGCCACTTTTCTGGTTCAGGGTTCAGCTGAAATAGTGAGAAATCCTCACAAGAGATTTGGAGTTTTGAGCCTTGAGTCAAGTGAGTATTTAAGGAATACTTTTCAGTTTCATTGAAGCCATGAGCTGTGGGCATGTTAAAGCACTGTCCCCAAAAGAGCTAGATGTAAAAATCTGTTTATACCTTTCCTCAGCTAAGACAAATTTAGGCTTTGTACCAACAGAAGCACATTTTGAGATCTTGATTAACAGAATTTCTTATCCAAAATTGTTTTAACTGTTTTCAAGATTGGGTTTAACTCAACTTGCTTTAAGTGATGCAGTGAGTCATTGACCATGCATTGCTGTTGGCTTTCAGTCACCCGTTCCCTTCACGGGTCCTGATAAATGTTCTTTTTTAATTTATCCTTCAAATAGCTTGCTTTTTAGAGGCAAACAATGCATACATCTCAATATGAGCAGTGTATTTGAGACACCAAGTAATAAATGATATAGATCACTAGAATACAAAATAGAATTTTCTTTCCTAAAAAGTTTTAGTTTTCTCTAATTCAGTTCAGAAAAACTGATCAGCCTCAGAAACACCAGTCAATTTTGGAAATGGTTATCAGCTTTTTAACAGCACAGTGTCAGTTCACAAACAATCAAACTTCTTAGATGCAAGTAGGCATGAGATCAAATCACCATTCTGATCTCACTTTGCCATTTTAAAAACAAGGATGACTCATTTCCGATGCTGTGACATAAAGGTCTTCCACTTTTGAAGGTAGTGTTACAGTGTCATCTCTCTGAATAAATATACTTACTTAGGATGCAAATGAGTTGCCGAAACCGTACAGAGTGACAGGTAGAAATATGGTAACAGTATATGTCTATGTATTTATTCCATATTAATTATTAACTGTGTTTCAGGCAGAGTGTATATGTTTTCTCATTCTAAATTATATCCTGTTAATGAAAATTGCTTCCTCTGTGCAGAATCTGTGCCCCATGTGGCTCTCTAAGCCACAGATGAAGAATTCAATTAACCACAATTTGAATACATGCCAATTATTCCACTGCTCCAAGTTATTTTGTCTAATAAGTATTTTCATACATAAAAATATTTTGTGTGCAACTTTTGACACCAAAAATTTTTTGAGGTTGTATCTATAATTTCTTTGGGTTGATTGTGTGGCCCCTACATTTTGCAATGTTTATAAACTAGCCTAGGGGGTTTATATGTAACCTTCTCCTAAGGGGTGTATAAAAGACTCTTATGATCAATAACCACCAAGTTCTACCTACATTATCTTTTAAAATCATAGCAGGACTCAAAAAGTAGTTAATCCATAGATTAGATCACTCCATATAGATAGATATTTGTTTTTCCCAAAAAAATTCCATTATCCTGTGAAGTAAACAATGTAACATGAAATAGCATAATGTAAACACATAGCAGGCAAGTTGAATAAAGAGTAGACTTTAAATGTTCTATTTCTCCTATGCTTTCTGATTTTAAAATTCATTCAGTTTACATGAAAATCTCCTCTGTAATACAGACCAAAGTTCAAGGAAGTTTCCTACTAAATATGAACTCTCTAGAGTAAAACAAAAATTTAAATGCAGACTCCATTTGCTTTGAAAAGTAACACTTCTATGAGCACTGGTATTAATGAAATCTCATCTCTTTTGGATTTAAAGTTGATCAAAAACTATAAGCACAAGTTTTCCAGTAGCATCTCTCCTGTTGTTGATTTTATTTTTTTTTTCTAATGACACATAGGCTTACACTGCAGTCTTTATCTTATGCTCTTTTCCCATCATCTGGCTCTAAATTTCATAAAGCCTTAGGCAGTTTCTCAAAAGTAACTATGAAGTCCTGTTGAATCAGCAAACCAGTTCAGACATTATTGTGAAACATGGAGTACTCAAACAGATACAGATAAAAGTGATTGCCTAACCCTAATTTTACAGTTGAAAATTACTGGGGGGAAAAAAAATACCAAAACCTCTCTCAGAACTGAATATTTTTCAAATAATTAAGAGACTTGAAAATATTTAACATGGAATCTCTTCTGTTCAACTGTAATATTTAATATCAATTTCATTAATCTTCGAGTAGTTGTTCCTGTAAAAGATTACACTCTAAGATTACAAAGCACTGGCACCTGACACAATTTGTGATTTTTGCAATTTTTCTGGATTCCATACAATGAACTTGTGGTCAGCTCAAAGTATAAAAAAGAACATATCCCAAAGACAGGACACGTGAGCCCTGATCATCTTCCAGAGCCATCCTATCATGCAGAAAGAATGTGCTGAAGCCACCCACAAATTCCAGTACCCTAGTGATATCTTGATCTGTGGTACTTGCAGATGTGCTACTGAGCAAATACTGCCAGAGATTTCCTAGAGGGGAAGAAAAAGAAGAAGGAAAAAGAAGAAGAAAAAGAAGTTGCTTCATCCTGTGTGGAATTTTTTAACGCAACATCTGATCTCAGATTCTATCGCCAAATCTGATGCAGGGTTATAGTGGACTGCCTCAGAAACCATATGCTGCAAGAACTGATCCCATCAAACTTAATTCCCTGCCCCAGCACCTGTATCTCTGCTTGGCAGATCTGCTTTGGAGATAGATCTTGATACATGCATTTCCAGTATCTGTATTCTAGCAGTGCTCTCCAATAGACTGATCCTGGCTGGTCCACACTCCATTCTCTGTTATTCTGATCCCCCAGAAATTGCAGGCACCTCTCTAGAGCAGGAGTCTGATAAACCTGGTGGCTCCAGTTTTCTCTGTGAACTGGTAGCCCTAAAACCAGTGCAACTAATGAAGACCACACAAAAATAGACTTGATCAACAAATACTCATCACAGAATCATGGAATGGTCTAGGTTGGAAGGGACCTTAAAGATCACTCAGTTCCAACCCCTTGCCATAGGCAGGGATACCTTCCATTAGACCAGGTTGCTCAAAGCCCCATCCAATCTGGCCTTGAACACTTCCAGGGTTGGGGCATCCACACTTTCTCTGGGCAACCTGTTCCAGTGCCTCACCACCCTCACAGTAAAGAATTTTTTCCCAATATCTAATCTAAACCTGCTGTTTTTCAGTTCAAAACCTTTTCCCCTTGTCCTCTCACTACATGCCCTTGTAAAAAGTCTCTCCATTATTCTTATAGGCTCCCTTCAGGTACTGTAAGGCTCATTACATTTGTTTGCCACCAGATGAAAGCTGAATGATTCAGGTCAGTGTCGCGTGAGTTACACTACTAAAAACAACCAGAGGAAAGGAACAGCCCCCTAGGGTTTATCCTGTGTTCAACACCTACCTTTTACCACGTGCTGTGCACCACGCACCTAAACCACGTGGTAGTGAGACACAGTAAAACTCAAAACGCCAGGAAAAGAATTCTCAGACCAGCTCATGTTTTAGCACTTTTTGAAAAGGCACCAACTTATCAAGATATTAACATGCAGAGAGTCCCACTGAGACTAGTAAGATTTTTCACAAGACTAAGATACTAAGCAGTTAATTTTCAGAGTTTAAAAAAACCCCACACCTCAAATTAAAAAGCTTTGAAAGTTCACCTTTAAATGGTTTGTTGGTGAGCTAAGTATGCAGAGATATTTGAGGGGGAAGAGCTCCTTTAGGTCTGTGGAATATTTCCCTATTTAATAAATAAATCTAAAAAATAATAGAATTATTTCGTGCATTTCAAATGTCAGTACAGCATCATCTTGTTAGTATTGCAGTTGCTGTGGAAATTAATCTGAAATCTAATGAAAAATCTCTATTTCCATAGGTAAAATCAGTAAACAGATAGTAAACACAGACACCTCTCTCTAGTGGCAATATCATCCATTATCACAAAAATGGCAGTGCTGATCTTGGTTATTCTAGTAAACTAAATCTATTTTCAAAATTTGAAAATTGTTTTTATTTCCACATAGTTTCCTTCCACTCCCTCCACTTTTCACACATACTGAATTTATGAGTAATGAACCTTCCTTTACAGTTCTGTAGTCTGCTTTGCACTGAGCTGTAGAAATTTCACTTGTAAAAAGTGAAGCTTAAATTTGAGAAACCAGGATTAATTGAGAACTTTAAAATAGTTTTGTTCAAACAACAGTTACCTTGGAAATTCTCTCACTAAAATATGTAATTATGAATATTAGTAACTAATGCTGGCTAATGCTAGCCATTAATGGTGACTATTGTTCATTAACCAGTGTACAAAGGTACTGAATGTTTGTTGCAAAAGTGAAAACTAGATGAGAATGTTTTGCTATAAAGTAAGATACATACACTGAGGAGAGTGTAAATCCCAAATGCTTTAGTTAACAAAGAGACTTAAACCTAAAGAAAAGAAACAGAAGGCTTCTTTGATAACTTTCCCTTAATGGAAAATTTAAGATGATCTGAAATTGTTTGCCATTATTGTGAAAACAACTACTCAGAAAGATGCAATAGAATTTGGAAGATGAAAGCATAAATTTAAGCTTGTTAAGGGACAATATCTTCCACAG